ACTTGGCACCCAACAGTGTCAAAGTGTAGAATTTATTACAAACAAGCACAAAACAAGTGAAGAACCTCATCTCAAGGTAAACCAGTATCTAAGTACTCCTCCTCCTCCTCCTCCTCCTCCTCCTCCTCCTCACACGAGGTAGATAGTATCCTCTCCCTCGTAGATCTTCGACTCCTCGTGCATCTTTGCAATCATCGCACGCGCCTCCTTCTCCGTCACCTTCTCAGTCATCTGCTTCCTCGCGTACTCCACCACCTCTCCCACCCCCGCGCTCTCTCGCCCAGTCTGCTCGCTCTGAAGCTCCTCCTTGAAGAAGCGAGTGACTGCCCGGCAGAAGGACGCGTACCTGCAGTATGAAGTGTGAGAGAAGAAGAGTGGAGAGCGGAGGAAGAGCGAAAGGCGATAGGAGAAGAGGGGACAGGAGAGGGAAAAGCAGGAGAAGGAAGGGAGTATACCTGTCTGAGCTGACATCAACTTCGACATTCTCCGGCTCTGCTTGTCGGCCACGTTTGCGTGAGCTTGTCTCAGGGGCTGGTTGCTCCTCCTCCTCCTCCTGCTCCTCCTCCTGCTCCTCCTCTTCCTCCTCCTCTTCCTCCTGTTGTCCCTTCCTGGTCCTCTTTCGCTTCGCAGCAGGCGCTCTTGCTCCGCTACCGTCATCGTCATCTCCATCCTCATCCTCATCTGCGCTGCTGGCGTTGCCGCTCGTGTCCTCGCCACTCTCGCTCTCGTCTCTCTGGACCCTCCTCGTCTCGTTGGACAGAGCGAACAGCAGGACGTCATGCGCTGCCTCCACGTCGCGGATCTCCACCAGCCCGCTGAGTCGACACTTGGCATGCGCGGTAGAGAGACGGATGATGGTCTCGAGCGAGCGAGGGGTGATAGGGAGAGCTCCTCCTGCTACATCGTTGCTGCCGATCCATGTCAGTCCTCAACTTGCTCCTCCTCTCTCCCTCCTCCTCCTCCTCCTCCTCTCCTTCCTCTCTACCTCCTCTCTCCCTCCTCCTCCTTCTCCTCTTCCTGTTTCTTTTCTGGAATGTTCGATTTACCTTCCTCGCAGGTCCATGTAGAGCTGAGAGATTCGCTCGCTCGCCTCCTCGCTCAGTCGAGGTTTCGTCCTCCTCGCGTACCGCAGGTACTTCTTGAGGAACGCTTGCGTGACCAGCTGCCCCTCCTTGCCTCGCTGCGCGTGCAAAGCACCTGCAACTTGCTTTCAGTCCAGGAGGAGGAGGAGGAGGAGGAGGAGGAGGAGAAGGAGGAGGAGGAGGAGAAGGAGGAGGAGGAGGAGAAGGAGGAGGAGGAGGAGAAGGAGGAAAAGGAGGAGGAGGAGGAGGAGGAGGACTAGAAAATTGATAAGTGCAACACAGAAGGAGGGAGTTCAAGCCAGAGGATGAGAAGCCAGCTGGTCTGGATGAGAAGCCAGCTGGTCTGAGAAGCCAGCAACGAAGGGAGCAGAAAGCATAGATGGATTGACGTCTAGATGTATCAACAAGGAGGGGGAGGAGGAACGAGGGACGAGGAGGGAGGAGGAGGGAGAGAGAGGAGGAGAGGGCGCACGTTTTTCAAAGATCGGAGTCTCATCCTCCTCGGCCTCCTCGTTGTCTTCAGCTGCTTCAATCTCGTCTGCCGCCTCCTGCGAGTCTAGTCCCTGCATCCTGTGCATGCGGAGAATGTGATCTGAGATGCGCTTGTCGTGCGCCTCCTGCCCGAGATGAATCAGTGGAGGAAGCAGCAAGAGAGGGAGGCGGAAGAGGTGCACGAGAAGGAAGGAGTAGCGACTAGGGAAGGAGGAGCAGCGACTAGGGAAGGAGGAGTAGCGACTTGGGAAGGAGGAGCAGCGACTAGGGAAGGAGGAGTAGCGACTAGGGAAGGAGGAGCAGCGACTAGGGAAGGAGGAGCAGGCGAGGAGAGAGTAGAAGTATTGTAACCTCAACATTGTCGAGGAGAATGAAGAGAAGATCAAAACGAGAGAGGAGGGAGTCCGGGAGCCCAATATTCTCTGTTGTCTTCTTCTGTCGGTTGTAAGACCCGTACACGGGGTTAGCAGCAGCGACGACACTGACGGTGCAACAGAGTGAGAGATTGTAAGAAACGAGGGGAGGGAGAACGGAGGCGAGAAGGAGGGAAAGGAAGGATAGAACATGAGGGAAAGAAGCAGGACATGGTGGAGAGAGAGCATCAAGAAAAAGACAAGACCAAAGACAACAAGAAGGAGCAAAGGATCAAGACGAGGAAGAGCAGGCAGGGACCAGTCTAAGGAGGGGGGAGAGGAGGGGGAGGGGGAAGAGGAGGAGGAGGGGGAAGAGGAGGAGGAGGGGGAAGAGGAGGAGGAGGGGGAAGAGGAGGAGGAGGGGAAGAGGAGGAGGAGGAGGAGGAACCTGCATCGTGCATTGAGGGAGGTGTGTATGCCCGCCTTAGCGATCGTGACAGTCTGCTGCTCCATCACCTCATGAATGGCAACTCGATCCTGGTCGCTCATCTTGTCGAACTCATCGATGCACACGACCCCGCGATCTGCCAGCACCATCGCTCCTGCCTCCAGCTTCCTCTCTCCCGTCTCCGAGTCCTGCGTCACCGCCGCCGTCAAGCCGACGCCCGATGATCCTCGTCCTGTGGTGGAGACGGCAAGGGGGGCCACGTTCAGCACGTAGCGCAGCAGCTGCGACTTGGCGACCGAGGGGTCGCCAACTAGCAGCATGTTGATGTCACCACGGATGTGCGTGCCGTTGGCAAGGTTCTTCTCCATGCCCCCCAGCAGGAGGAGCAGGAGACCTTTCTTGACGAAGTTGTGGCCGCAGATGGAAGGGGCGAGGGAGGAGGAGAGGAGGTCGAAGCAGTCCTTCTGCCTCGAAATCCGCCTGATGTTTGCGATGTCCTTCTCAGTCATCGCCGTCATCATCGTCTCCTTTGCGAGCACCTTGATTGCTACCCCGATGATCACCGTCCTGAACATCCCTGACGTCTCGTTCCCTGTGCCCAGGGGCTTGTAAACTCCCACTACCTGCACTCGGTCTCCCGGCTTCACTGCATCGACCAGGTCGTTGGTCACCAGAACGTCCACCGACCGCGGCAGCTGCCCGACCTCTGCATTTTCCGGCATCTCTTGCAGGTGAAGTGCCTGGGTGTCAGAGTACTCGCACAGCCCGTACTCGGTCGTGAGCAGATTGCCGTCGTCGTCACGGGTGAGGTATGTGCTTCCCGTCGGCAGACCGCTGAAGGAAGTGTAGTCCCTGTACTCCTTCTGGTGCAGCTGCTTGGTTGTCTGAACGACAAGTCACACTGTCATCATCCCCATCGCATTCATTTCGACAGTAGCCCGCATCTTCGAAATTAATTGCATCATCATCATCATCATCATCATCATCATCATCATCATCATCATCATCATCATCATCATCATCATCATCATCATCATCATCATCATCATCATCATCATCATCATCATCATCATCATCATCATCATCATCATCATCATCATCCCCATCATCATCATCCCCATCATAGCCTTACCTCGCAGTAGTGGACGGACTTGAGGATCTTAGGGCGAACGAGCGAGCACTTGGTTACGATGCCATTGATGGCGACGAGCTTGTTGACGTAGGAGGAGTTGAGACTGCGAGGATTTACTTGATGCGACCCGAAGTCTCCCTCGAACCCGACGGAAAACCTGGTCTACACATACACTCAGACTCGCAAATCCTCCTCCTCCCTCCCCTCCTCCTCCCCCCTCCCCTCCTCCTCCTCCACCAAGTTATTTTTGGAGCTCCCCTCAAGTGCATCCCCCCCCGGCTTACCTTAGTTTCCTTCGCTCTCTTGGCGTAGTCAGGGCTGATGTTCCCTACCGTTCGCTCTAGCGCCGAGTCGAAGGCGGGCAAGTAGTCGGCTGGCCGGCTCATAATCTCCTGGCAAAGTTTCGCGTCCGACTCCCGGAGGTCCGCAATGTCGATCAAGACCCGCGACTCCTCCTTGGCGATCATGTTCCGGAGCTTCTCCTCCGTCACTTCATTTCCTCTCTGACATGCCCACGTGGGTCAGAGCTGGCGATGCTCGGCTATCGCTCTCACCTCGGGGTCCAGGTAGTTGAGAAACCTGCGCACTTTCTCTTGGAAGTCGTTGTCGGTGGGTGCGATATCAGCTGGAGGGTCGAAGCGTAAGGTTGCATGCTGGTATCACTTGTATAACAATCACACAGACGCAACTAGGCGACCATAACAATCGCAAGTGACCAACTAAGATCTCATGGGCACTGAAACAACAATCTAATATCCAGCAAGGCACATTCCATCAAGCCTTGCTATAGCATGCTTGTGCGTCCGGTCATAAAATATGATAACACGATCAAGTTCTACTGTTTGTCATGCTCATTGTATGTTCTATCATCGTCCTCTGCCGCTTCTTTCCGCCCCTTCGCTGCATCCTCACCGCTCATCGTGGCGCTGTTGGAGGCGGGACAGGCCAGTGAGGAAAGGGTCGGGTACTGCCCAAGATGGGGGTAGGGTTCAACTGTCAAATGTATGGGTGCAATTTATATCAGCAGAGGGGGTAATAAGGAAACGACACATGTTGAGGGGTAGGTGGTCAGAAACCTCCATAGGGTGGGGTATTAAGATACCTTCCGTTTTCGGAAAGCGCGGGATTCCTTATTGGGAAAGGGATCTGTAAAAGTAAAAAAGAAACCGAACCCGGTAGTTCAAGTTAGAACTTGTTAGCCGCTAGTGAGTCAGGTCGACTCGGCCCGCCCCGGGCCCGGGCACTGAGGCGTACTGATTTTTCACTTAACTTTGAGTAAAGAGGCGAGTCGGTCCGAGCTTGTCTGAAGTTTGAACGCCGTGCCGCGCGCCGCCGGTCACCGGGATGATACAGTACTGTACTGTAGCCCCGCGGGTCGTGCCAGTCCCGCCGCCCGGCCGGCGCGGGGTACGCGGCAGTGCTGGGCAGCGGCGGCAGCAGTGCTGCACGGCGGCAGTCGCGGCGGCAACGGCAGGGCTCCGTCGGAACCGTCGCGGCCCTCAGGCAGCGGAACGGAACGCCGTTGAGCGCCGCAGTCACTGAGTGTCACGCCGCGGGTACCGCCCCCCGCCCCCCCCGGCCCGTTTGTCACCGTCCTTTGTGGTGACGGTGGCAATGGCCCGGCCCGTGATCCGATCGGTGACAGGTCAGATCGGTGGCAGGTCAGAGCCCCGGGCAGCAGTGTGGCCGGCGGTGACCGGCGGAAGGTGCCACGGGATTATTGAATTTACGATAATCAACTTCGGAAGTTCGTTTCAGTGACACAACTTTCGTGGAATGACAGATATATTTGGTACAAGGGGATACATAGTTTCTTTCTAGCGTAAGGGAATTGTAGAGCAGATCTCACTCGTGTTGGACAGAGCGGGATACGAACGACTTGTAAGGTCGCTTGAACTTTTGTTGGTGCGATTTACACGGAGTCGAGACCTGACTTATCTATGTTTCCACTGGTCGAGCATGCTTCTTGCTGAAAACAATCCTCAAAAGGTAGCTTGGCCGCCTTACTTTCAAAGAGACAGTCGCCTAGTGAACACAGGAGCGCTTCATTGCTCGAAATGCAACCCTCCTTGTCGAAACCCCAGAAGGCTCTTGCTTGACCGCAAACGTAGGCAAAAAGAACTTGAACTACATCTTCGTCGACGTCATCGTGTCTTTCACTCGTCTCGTTGACAAGACTGAGAGGGCCATGCCGACCCACGTCGAAGGTCACGTGAGCATCCAACTCTTGAGTTATGCAGAACTTAGGGCAGTACCGCGCCCGAACGAGTGGATCGGCAAAGCGGACACGAAGGCAGGATCGATCACGATGCCGGGGCCTGTCCGATGCATCCGTCTCCCCATCTTGAAGGTTGCTTTCCCTTTTGTTTCTACGATACGCGTCTTGCATGCTGGTCCGAGGATGGGCTTCAGCGCCATGGACAGCCCTGTCGGGGCCAACGCTGTTGCAGTTCTGATGGCTTCCTCCGTTCCTCTCATCCACATACTTCGTGACAAAACGATCGCACCAGTACAAGAACTTCGTTCTCCCCGTCGACATGTCCATGTCACTTATTGCTCTGTTTCGAACTGGAAAAGAAACGAATCAGTCTCTTTACAAAACAAAAATCGCGAACAAACGTTTATGCGTATTAATAAAAAAGCTTGATGCGTGCAAACCATCAAAGTGACATCTCATACCAAATGTGGAGACAAGAATTCCAACGAGATCATTCGTCAAAGGTAGGATTGTGCAAAGAAAGCTTTCAAGCAGGTAACTGCCTTGAAAATGGAGCAACAAGACAGTGATTTCTTACAATCTAACATGCCAGAGCAACATTGAGTGCAGAAAATTCGATTGAAAATGATGGAACCGTTCTACCGCGACCCAACATTCAACCAGCACACCAAACCAGGCCCTCAGAGGAGTTGAGTCCGCGGCAGAAAGAAACCCGCAATGGCAGCATAACAAGGAGACATGATCACGACAAGCCATGAGGGAAAAAGCACAGAGGGAGGGATGGGTCAGAGAGGCATCGGACATTGAGGCAAGACGGCGGCACAGCGATCGGCAGCCAGCATCGGTGCCTCCTGGGCCGCTACAAGGACATGTAGCGTGCGCTATCTAAGCCCTCCATTATACAGCAGAAGTTCCCTGTTATATATAATTATACTTTCATGATTATTGGTTGGACCTCTGACTCTCTATAATTATGCAAATTGGTGCGACTTGTTTTGTATAATTTGCATAATGATTTTCAGGTACCGATTCTATCCCCTGTCGACCACCCTACCCCAGTTCCTCAAGAAACAAGTAAAGCTCCCCGAGACCCCCCGAAACAGTCCTACTCCGGAAGTACCCACCTTTGCAAGTGAAAATTCATTATCAAGAAGGGGTACATTTTCGAGTAGTACCCGTACAAAATCACCGAAGGGCAGCGGGCTAGTACCCCCACCCTCTCCGTTGAGAATGTGAAATACGACCCTGTGAGCTGTGGGGGAACAGGTTCTGCTCTGAGGCGAGTCCGCCATCTCTGCGATCGGGCCGGGCAGGTTATATGGTTATATATTTACAATATTTTGTATTGATATGTAATCATGCAACAAAACAACACTATTACAATAACTATATATGTCAACTAAGTCTTTAATTTTCCTACAACTTATAAAATCGTATAAGATGTTTTACAAATAATTTGTATGAAGAATTAGGCTCGGTACGTTTTGCTCGTACAACACTGGGATCCTTGTTTTTATAGAGACAACTCGCATCCTCGCCCCCCATGCTTTCCCTCTCCTCCTAGAGTCCTCTTCCTTCCTCTCCCCTCTGCTCTGCCAGCTTCTGTCCTTCCATGCTCCTTTCCTCCATTCCATTTTCTCAGACTTTCTTCCTCTTCCCTTCCCCGCCCATCTCCTTGCCTCTCCTCGTTGCCCCTTTCCTCGCTTCCCTCGCCGCTCTATCTCTCCTCTGCGTGTCATGCGAACTCTATTCCACACACAAAAACAGCTGTTCTTTCACCGCATCACATCACTTCTCATGTTTTCTCCTCTTCTGAATTGCACCATGTACGCTTCCTTTTCCAGCCCCTTCCATCTGCACCGCCTTTGCATGCGCCCAAGGACACACACGCATCCCTTTGTTTAGCGTGTGTGTTTCTTCTCTTTCTTGTCACAGCCTTCCGCTGTATGTCTGAGTAAGGCTCTTGCGCCCCTGTGTTTTCCTTTCTCACATTGTATTTTCTCAATGTTTGTTTATGTTTGTTCAATTCCTTAACCTCGCATTCACTCCATGTTATCTTGGTGCATTCGCTCCTGGCTGGTGGTCGAATCGTGAGATCACTCTTCAGCCTGTTTTCATGCTGCTATCTCTACTTTCTCTGTATGCGCGAGACTATCTTCATATTGTCTCTGATCGCCTGCCCCTTTGTTCTACCTGATTTTCACCTGCAGTTTGAAATCTGTCAGAGCAGTAAAGTGAGGGAACATTGAGATGGAGGATGCTGTGCGGGAATGTGAGACATTGAGGTGACGATGGAGCCTGCAGGACCCACGATGATGATGGCTGCCGCTTCTTCGTCCCGCATCCGCAAGTGCAACTACTCCAACTGCTCCAAGAGCGTCTTCATCGACCCCACCACCGGCATCGAGCACGACTTCTGTGGACGCACGCATGCCCGACTGGCGCTGGAGGCTGAGGGTTACTCCCTGGAGCCTCCTCACGGCCAGTGCCACATCTGCCAGCTTGAAGGCTGTAACAACCCGGTCTACTATGACGAGCGAGAGGACCGCGTGCATGACTTCTGCTGCCTTGACCATGCGCACGCCGCGCAGGAGTGGGGGCAGTGGCCCGAATCGAATCGATCTTGCCAAGGGCATGGAGACCCCAGCAACCGCTGCGCTCTGCCCGGCTGCTCCGCTCCTCGCTATGTCGACCATAGGACCGGGCAGGTCCATGACTTCTGCGGCCGGACTCACGCCAAGCAGGCAGCAGCAAGAGGTCTCCTGTCGGCGACCGAGGCTGGTGTGCCCTTCCATTGGGTGGATCGTGTGTTTTCAGGACGCGACGGGCAGCCCAAATACACGATCTCGATGCTGACAAACCACCACGAGAGGTATCAGGGTATCAAAGAGCAGTTCCTGTCAAGCTGGACGCATGCTGGGCCGAAGCCACGAGTTTTGAGGATCTTTCAAGTACGCAACCCTCAGGAAATCTATGAGAGATACTTGCGGTACCGCGACTTCCTGGATCGTAACGGAGGAGCGCATGAGAGGAGAAGGTTCCACGGGACCTCGATGGCTCCGGACTGTATGTTCGGACACGACATCAACTGTGCTCCTTGCATGAACCCTAACTGCGCAGTCTGCACCATCTGCGAAACCTCCTTCGATCTGCGTCATGCGGGCAACGCCACGATGGGAGGAGGTGCAGCGAGGATGGCGCTGAGGTACGGCAATGGGCTCTACTTCTCCAGGGTGTCCTCTAAGTCCAACGACTATGCCTCGGGCTCGGAGCGCAATGGCGTGAAGATAATCTTCCTGTGCAAGATTTGCCTGGGAAACAGTTACCTGGCGCAGCAGGAGCTAATTCCCTCCAACCAAGTTGACTCCCTGATCCGATGCCGCGCTGGCGACGCGACCTTCGACTCCATCACTGGGCTCACAGTTGCCAAGGGAGGGAAGCTAAACTACGAGGAGAACGTGATCTACTGCAACGAAGCCGCCATTCCATCGTATCTGGTGGTGTACAAAGTTCCTGACCCTTGATCATCAGCGAAAGTCGCCGTCAGCCAGTAGATAGATTTTCAGGTTGAAGCAGATTAGGAACTTCTGCTGAACCTAATGTTGGCGAATAGATTTTCTCCTTTTGTCAAGCTTCTGGCGCTGAAACCGATCTCAATCTAGCTCTTCCAAGATCCTGTTTGCATTCTGCAAGTTTTATTCCCTCGTTCGATAACAAACTCGCCCGGATATGCTTGAACTGACTCAGTCTAGTGATATAACTAGTTTGAGACAAGTTTCAAACCTCGAGGGCTATGTCAGTGCAGATGGAGCAGCAGTCCCATGAGGCGGTTGGCGTCGGAGTGATGCATCATAGGAGTAGAGACTTCTAGTTGAACACCGACTTCGAAGCAACTTTAACCTTGAGGGCGGAGGGATCCCACCAGGTAGCGCTGAATCAAATTCATTCTCCTTGTGGTTCGTTTTTCATCGGTAAAATCAGCTGACAGTTGTTCTGATGAGAAGAGAGAGCTGGATTAGGATTGATTCAATTCCAAGAAACATGTGCAAGAACATGTCTCAACCTTTTGTGTGTTCCGCATGCTTGATCAAATATCACACAGTAAGTAAGGAATGGCTGCAAGCGCGAGTTCTTTGATGTCACATTTGTTTATCATCACAATCCTTGTGTTTAGAATCGTTAAGTCTTACTGAAAATTGTTTATTATCAAAATCATTTAGAATCGTACGATGAAAGAACGTCAACACACAGCACGCAATCATTTCTTGAATTTCTTCACTGGATGGATGAGACGTACATCTGGGGCTGGTAGCCCGCAACCGGTTGAATTGATGGGACTCCTGGGGTCGTCACCACCGGCGAGAGCACTGGATAGGACGCGGCACTGACTGGAGCCAAGGAGTACATGGGCTGCGGAGAAAGGACAGGCGCAGGCTCTTCCACGGACTTGGGCTGGGAAACCTGGGCAACAGCAGGCAGCATTCTGTGAAGAGCATCGATAACTCCGTCGGGAAAGATGGACCTTGCTCCTGCGGTGTCGAGCATGGAGTGCAGCATGCCCTTGAGAGCCCCGATCAGGCAAGGGCTGAGGATCAGCAACAGAGCAAGCAGGCAGAGGATGAAGAAGTCCATCCAGCTGATGATGTGGTAGGCAGTGCAGGCCCAGCGGCTTGACGGAGCCTTCAAGCCAAGTTCAGCGCACGCGGTGGTCGGAAAAACAGCAGCGATGATCCAGATGCCCAAGATGACGACAGCCAAACCTCCGGACAAGTTGAGCAGGAACGCAATGGTCCTGGCCAGGTTCCTCTGGCCCTTGTCATCGCCAATGCCAATCAAAGGAGCAAAAATGTTGACAACAGTGAGGAGCCAGAGCACGCCGACGTAAGTGGAGAACACCTTGTAGAGCGAGGTGTTCTGCAGACGGTCGTTGGCGTCCGATGCATCGATGTGTGCCCACGAGTACGCGTAATACATGGGAAAGGCCGACTGGAGAAGAGAGAAGCCAGCAAGCAAGTAGCAAGTAGAGTCAGGCATGTCGAATGTTTCAGGAGTAAGCTGCTTCAGAGGGAGCACGCGACTGCAACGTGGAGGAGGAGGGCAAGGTGCTGTGCGTGTGAGGCAAAACTGGAGGAGAGGAGAGAAATATGCGTCGGGGCACAATGCAGTCAGACCCAGGGGTGGTAAACAGGAAGTTCCGTTCTACAGGGGTAGGGGTGGTGCGGTCAAACTGCGGACTTGGGTTAAGTTGTTAGGTTGGTAGGGGTCATATCTAGTTGTCCCAAAAGTGAGATGAGAGGGCAGGGGGTAGGGGTGCTACCGTTAACGATGGGAAGTGAGTGCTGTGGGGTGGGTAGAGGATGGAGGGGTATCTTTGACACTGAGAACAGCAGCGCGAATCTACATCAAATCGAGCAGGGGTAGCGATTGCAGAGCGTCAGTAGGGTGGTCTCAAAACTGGGGTATGAACTCCATGTATAGTTGGGTAGTAATTTTGAAGGGTGGGTGGTTGTACTGATGACGGTGGGCGACTCGAGAGATGGGGGTGGCCCGAAACTTAGTATCCACCCCACCCCTGGGTGGAACTGATCAATGGGGGAATAAGGTGGGTCACATAAGGGCAAGGTTACCGTTGCAGTAATCCCCAAGTGAACCCGAAAGGAGTCCCGGTGCTAATCAACTAGGGGAGGGGTAGCCCCAACTTACCGTACCGTACGGTAACCGGTCGGGTGGACGGTGGTGCAAATACTCTACAGGGGTGGGGAACGGCGGCCGCGCCATACGGTAGGAGGAGTCAGTGACCGAGGCTTCGCCATTCATTTGTTGAGGGCTCGGAAGGGTGGGTGGTCGCACGCCGTGTCTGGTAGTCCGTAGTCGGCACTGAGGGTGGTGTCAGGTAGTACGGCGGTATTGGTACGGTATGATTCCGGGGCGGCGCGGGGAATTTCCGAAACAAAAAAGAGAGCTACCAAAAGTAGTGAGTTCAGGGTACTGGAAGGACCAGCGGTGTGCTAGTAGCCTAGCCATAGGGGGTGCTAGTGGTTAATCCACAACGATGACTCATATTTTCAAATACGGTTTCAGAACTTCAAAATCTTTCACTCTATGTCGCCGGACTCATCACTCACATTGAAGGACGCCGTACGGTGGCGGTAAGTTTACTCAAAGTTAAGTTACTATACGGTACCGGTGACTCGGAGGCTGTGACCGGCGGTGGCGGCCGAGTCAGCGGGGGCCTCGGCCCGGCGCGGACTCCCGACGGTGGACCGTTGAAGAGTCCGGCGACCGTGAGGCTCGGCCATCTGCCGCGGACTCAGGAGCCTCCGAGGCTCGGAGTCAGCGGCCCCCGGGCCGCCGCCGCGGCCGCCGGGCCGGCCGGCGCTCGCGGCTCCGCTGATCGCCGAGTCTGGGCCCGGCGCGCCCGGCCGCCCTGCGGCGGCACACGGTGACTCCGGTGGCAGTGAGGCAGCTAACTTATTTCAACCGTGCATGATGATCTCAGTGGCTTGAGTCAGAGTTTTTCATGCCGTTCACAAGGCCATATGCAGGCTCTAGCAAAATTGGTCTTTTTTTTCTCCTTGGGACCGTGACTTGGCCGCCCGGCCGCCATGAGGCGGAGTCCCGGTACCGTACGGTCGGACATCACTGCTGCCGCTGACTTGACAGACAGTGAGTCGGTGGCATGGCGGCATCCGAGTCTGCCCCGGCGAGTCATAGCGTTGTCGCTCTCAACTGACCCCTCTGGTTTCCAATAGTTTTCTGTGGGGGTATCCTTCCACACATGTGAATAGCAAATGGCAGTTGGGGTCTGGGGTGGGTCAGACGGCTGGGAGCTGATTCAAATTGGTTGGGACGTGTTTAAGGGGGTAGGGTACTTCCTGGTAGCAAATAATTGTACCAACAGTACCAATTTTATGGTACATATTCGAGTACTGTTAGGAAAACTTGTACCAAAATAGTTTATGCGGTACCTCCCCTGTTCAAACTATGATGCTTTGGACCCACCTGTTTCCCAGTGAAAGTCCCTTCTCCGATGGGGTCAACCCTGCCTCCGACCAACATAGACCACCCTTGTAGATCAGAGGGAGCTCTCAAGCCTTGCCCCTTCCCTTCCCTGGTTGCACTGGTTGCATATCCAAGGTTAGCAAGCGAACGTTACTCATCTGCAGCAGGAGAGCTCAGACCAGGACAAGCAGAGGCAATCCCTGCAGAATCTGGTGTGAGCGCAGCAGTCTGAAAACATCTCTGTGATTGCAAACACATGTAAAGAGGGTTGATCATCATAGATTTTAGCAGCTTGAATAAGGAGTACTCCGCACGGACCGTCCGCTAGTGGCGCTGTACGATGGATGACATTGACTCTCATGAGCAATAAGTAGGAAGTCATGAAGCATGTCACGGAGACAGCATGATCTATACTTATTTCATAGGAATCTGCTGCAAAGAGTCGGGCTTGAGGGCGGTCTGAGCAATATGCAAGAGTATTGCCAAGGCATGTAAAGAGTTTCAAGGAATACCAGTGCATTCATCAAATGGCAGTGATGAGGTACCACATGAAGGTATGACTTGCAAATTGATTGCATGTCGTGTTCTATTTCATGACTTACAATCAAGACGCTTTGAGCGACAAAACGATAACCCTTATAGCATTGTAAATCATATTTCATTTCCTTCACCTCGAGTCGAAGCAAGAAATTTTCAAGGTGCTGATATCTTTGTTGTGACTAGACTGACATGGTATCAGGAGCAGTTAATTGATGTTGGATCCGATTGAATCATGCAGACGAAAATGGACGTACCCTTTTGAATAAATCTTTCTTCTCGAGTCTCATACCAGAGCTTTCTTGCCTCTTTCTTTGTAACCTAACATGTACAAAGCATTGGCATTTTCTTACACAAAGAAACTGAGCCTGACCAGCTTCTCTTATTCGCTGCATTCTCGCCCTTTCATCATTCTGATCTTTTCCTCGCTTGACACCCTTGGGCCAAAGCGAGTTGCATGCTGCGATATCATCAATTGTTTGGAACCAAGCGATAAGTGGAACAAAGCGCTCAGGTGCTATGCAGGCTGCAATGCATCGCCGGCATTCCAACCATATGGATAAGTTTGCCAACTTTGCGCTGCTCATATTACTTGCAGCGAAAGTCAACCATTCCAGATGATAAGGACAATATATGAGACTTGCGCAGAAGAATGTGCAAACACTTCCACACGACGGTGAGTGTGCACGATTCCACATACACAAGGGCCGAATGCTGCGCAGAAGCATCTACCAATTTCTTGTCTAACCACTCTTTTGATGAATGAGCATCGACTTCTCTAACATGTACATCAGGTCATGCAGGCTCATGGAGAAATGATGATGTTGTTAGCAACAACTTGGCTTTGTTTTATTGAAGTACGTTGAAAACATCACCTAGGCCGCTACATATTCCCATGTCCGCTTTGCAACAGTTCTAAACCACGTATCACCATAAAGTTGTACATCATTCGACTAGTCCGATAACATCTTCATGTAGAGTCTCAGTTTCAAGCACAACGCGGTTTGGAGCGATACTGTGACTTGTTTGCCTGGTATGATTACATGTGACATGCTCTCTTACACAATTGAAGAGTATTGTAGAAAATTCAGTCAAGCGGTGCACAGTTCGGCCTTTCTTTCTTGCTATTCATCAAACATAGTGTATCAGACAGATGTCATCGTGTGGATCGACGCAAAATAAAGATGAACTCGAAGTTCTGTCTGAAAAATGACCCTTTGCAAGTACTGATGGATCGAGAGCAAGTTCTTGATGCTGTATCATTGAGAAGTAAAATGACAGTCATAAGCCAGTGCTATGCGACTCGAATCCATCAGCTTGAAATATGAACCACTGAGTTTCATTCCATGAATCATCTTTCCTCCCGCATTCAAACTGAGAAACTCAGTGCTTGTCAACTCATGGGCATGGTTTCAGAGTTTGAATTTCCAGCAAGTTGAGGAAGGACAAGGCAGACAGAAGCGTCAAAGAAAGTTGAGGGTCATCAGGGAAGGTCTGACGAGAGTCTGAGACTCATGGACAGGGAAGGATAGGGATGCGCAAGTGCGGAGGGCAGGGAGATGGGGAGGGAGACCCCCTCTGCTAAATGTATTTTAAAAGGTACCCATTACAGTACCAGACCAAGACCTGTACCCCCCACCCCCCTGTCGCGTCCGTTGGGTTCGAATCATTTGAAATACTACCACGCCTACCCATCAGGTTCTGGTACAAATCATTACTCCACTATACAAGGGCCTAAGTGATCCTATGCAAAGGCAATAGGAACAACTGTTTACTTATCTAAGCTCTCAATTACCCCCGGTTGCCGTTGAACTTGCAGCGCTGGAAATGGATTTTCAAACCTTCCAATCCTTCGATTTTTTACTCACACACAATTTTGTACTGGAAAATGCCTGGATCTGGTACAAATCCCAATTGTCAGCAAGTTCCTTGACCCGACAACGCTATGTCCCTCGGAGTCTTACCGCGGCACTCAGTCCGAACGGTTGTTGACTCAGTTTGACAGTGGCATAACAGTAATCATACTAGTCACAAGTTCTTGCCGCAGTGCGGTCCGTCAGTTGAGAGTCACGGGGCACCGTCACAGAGTCACGCCGGTTCCGGTTATCATCGGCGGATCCGGCGATCATGTGTCTCAGTGCCGGGCCCGGGCCGGAGTGCTGAGCAGGGGGCCGCTCCGAACGTGAGTCATAAAAGCATGGCGCTCAAGGCGGCGGTGCTGCTCGGGTCGGCCGCTTCGTCCATGGCGTTCCTCGCGAGCCCTTGGCTGCCATGCACGAGCTTGAGAGGACGAACGACAGCCCATCCCGCTGCTGTGAGGATGCAGCTGGGAGGAGGAGGCCTGAAGGGTCTAGGGGGCGACCCGGACACTTACCGGTCAAGGCTGATGGAGAGAAAGAAGAAGCTGGAGGAGGGGAAGGGTGACATCAGATACAGCCCAGAGCTGTTGAGCATGATTCAAAAAGATGAGCAGACTCTGTTCAGCATGCTGGATACGCCGCTAGGGAACGAGGAGGTGGAGAGGCTGAAGGCGATCAACAGCGACGATGTGATGATCATGGAAGACGACGATGAAGACGACTGGGAGATGGAGCAGGTGACAGCAGCTGTTGTGTTAGCTCATGCCGTGTTGATGAACTTGCCACAGGCGTTGCTCGAAATGTTTGTTGAGCAGGGAGACGTCGATCCCACGAAGCTGCCCAAGACAGGGCAGGTGTGAGGAGAAGAGGGCATGTTTTGAGCAATCATGGCGCTAGTCTTTATTTCGTGATCATGGAGAGCAGAGAGGGGTGCAATGAACATTCTAACTGTTGAGTTGTTTCCTCCATGCGTTCCGAATTTACATTCATAAAGGACTGCCTGGTTGTCAAGAAGCAAGTTGTTGTATACACTGACATGCAGGTTAGATGGAGTAGGCGCACTTTGAGAAGCACTTTCAGCCTGTCATGATGCGCCTTTTTGAGCTCAACCAAAGTTGCTTGCGGGCTGTGAGATGACGACAAGGATGAGCTGCAGAGGAGAGCAGATGAAGGGAGTCGAGGGCGGAGGCGGTGAAAGGGGGAATAGTGGAAGGGAGCAGATCAGAAATAAATGGAGAGAGAACGGCTGAAGGAGAGGAGAGAGACGGAGAATGGGCAGGTAGGAGGGAGGCTATTCGAAGAAGAGAAGGACGGGGACAAGGCGGAAGCGGAGGAGGACGAGGACGAGGAAGAGGATGAGAACGAAGACGAGGGCGAGGGCGAGGGCGAGGGCGAGGGCGAGAACGGGGAGTAGGAGGAGGAGGAGGAGGAGGAGAACGAGGCTGGAGTACAGCAGCAACAATGGGTTCGGGGTCAAACAAGAGTTGATGAGAATGGGAGCAGAGAACTGGACTCATCGCCCTCACCTCCCCTCCTCAGCGATGGTCAGGTCCCACCCTGAAGACTTCCTGATGTGGAGGATGCTTCCTTCAACTGCCAGGTACAGCGTCACTACATCACGCACGGTCGCCTGTCAAAGAGGAGGTGTACGGAGGTCAGGGAGGCCGAAATCTTGTGCAGCAAGTCAGGACTGAGAACTCGCAGCACAACTCACGTACACTCCTCGAACTGACGGAAACCTGCGAATAGGGTGAGGAGAAGAAGAGGGCAGGTGAGGGGAGGAGACGGGCGGGAGTTCAGTGGTTGGGGAGGGGTAGAAGCAGGTGACCGGCAAGGACCAAGGCGATGATCAGTACAGGAATAAATGCGTTAGATCAGAAGGAGCTTACATTCGATAGCGAACTTTTCTGAGTTGAGAAAACGGACGAAGTCCCAACTGATCACGCTCATCATCATCATCCTTCACCACCACCACCACCACCACCACCTCCTCCTCCTCCTCCCCATCATCATCATCCTCATCATCATCATCCTCATCCTCATCCTCATCCTCATCATCCCCATCCTCATCATCCCCATCATCATCATCATCATCATCCAGTCGCACGTAGCAACGTCGTCCGAGATGTTCTTGCCCATTTCCTGACGGCAGCAGCTCAAACCCTCCAACTACAGGAGGAGGAGGCGCCTTGCCTTGTAGTTCTCCTTCAGGACTTCAAAGTAGGGCGCAAACCCGCCGCCTGGAAGCAACACCAACCAACGTCATACCCCCCCCCCCTTCCCTTCCAACCCCAACCCCTCATCCCTGCTCCTGCTCCTGCTCCTGCTCCTGCTCCTGCTCCTGCTCCTGCTCCTGCTCCTGCTTCAACAGCAACACGATCTATTTCCTATGCGCAGCTACAACATCATTGCCAACATCAAAACCTCCTCGTGCTCTCTACCCTCCGTTGCTGCAACAAACCTGTATCGAGTTCAGCCTCGTCTATCACCTAGCGCACGAGTCATGTTCCCCGCGACATTCATATCCCTCCCTCTACCCTTCCCCTCTCTACCCTCCCCTCCCTCTGCCGCTTCCCTCCCTCTCTCCATCCTGCACTCCATCTTCCACACCATGGGCGAGAAAGAGAGCGAGGAAGGGAAAAGCAGGCGAGAGAGGTCGAGGAGCCTGCGAGTAGTCAAACACGGGAGAAGGGGCAGCAGCACTGACATGGCACATGGATGGAGGTAGCGATAAGTCAGCCCCGCAGAGCCCCTTCGCTCCTGCTCGCAACTAAGGCAAGAAGGAAAGGAAATTTTGATATGCCTGCAGATAGCCCGCTATGAAAGGAGCAACGTCAGACTCTCCTCCATCACCATCTGCTCCTGCTCCTGCTCCTGCTCCTGCTCCTGCTGCTGAAACATCGAAGGTCTCTTGTGATTCTACTTCCCTCCCTCTTTTCTTATCCGGCAGCTTGCGGTCGTTTCTCACGAGCTCGCGGAGGCTGATTGCCTTGACCAGAAACACCTGGAGGAGGAGAGTAAGAGGAAGAGGAGAAGAAGGAGGAGAGAAAGTGTATGGAATAGACAAGGGCGGGATAGGTCGGTAGGATGAGTAGGGAGGGCAGAAAGGTTGAAGGAGCGTAGCAGCAGGAAGGGAGAGGAAGAGAGGAGAGGAGAGGAAGGCAGAGAAGGAATCAGCGATAAAGAGGAGAGAGAACAGCTATTCAAGAAGGAGGCACAAAGAGTTTCGTGTGGCCTCACGTCTTGCTCAGTCAGCATCACAAGTCCTGCCACATTGTCAGAGGTGGGAGGGTGCAAGCGAGCATGAGGAGCAGGGAAGGAGAAGTGAAAGCGGGAGGGACTAGGAGGGGCGGTGAACTGTGGATAATGAAAAGGCAGAGTGCAGTAGGAGATGAAAGAGAATTGAAAAACAAGCAGGAAGGAACCAAAGAGAGTGGAAAGAAGGTAGAACTTCAATGAGACGGACAAGGAATCAGATGAAAAGGATGAACAAGAGGAGCAGGAGGGGCAGGCGGAGCAGGCAGAGGAGGAGGATAATGAAAAGATCACTTGTTGAGAATTCCTCCAGAACGACATCATTCCACAACCAGTCCAAAAGCTAAACAACGATTGACGATCAGCTCCCAGTCGAAACAAGCCACCCTTGCTTGCTACCTCCCTCACTTCCACTCCCTCACTCCTTCACTCACTCCTTCACATTCCTCCATTTCTACCACTCTTTTGTCCTTATTCTTTATCAAACTTTGCCAATTTTCTTACCGCCCCATGAATCCAGGATGCCATATGCCTAGAATACAGGGTCACTCACTAGCACACTTCCCCCTCCGCTCCCGCCCCTGCCCCCCTGCCCCCCTCTCTTCCACCTCCCCCTCCTTCCTGCTCCTGATCTTACTTCTCAGCTTTCCTCCTCGAGGGCGATACCATGTACCGCACTCCCATCTCCTTGCAGACGTCCTCCAGTTGTGCTCCTGGCACTCTTTCAGAACCTTACCACCGCAAACTCGCACCAGCCCCACTCATGCTGTCATCTGACGCATCGATCACTACAAACAATTCCAGCTCGTCTAGCAAATGCTTCCTGAACGTGATAACCTGCGTCCTCAGCATCTCCGGCTGCCATTCAGGGTCAGTGTCTATCACAGATGCGACGTCGGGACCTGACTGTAGACGACTGGGATGACTACCACCGCGTCCTCCCTCTTGCCGCATTTGCTACCGCGATCCCTACGTCTGTCTTCCACCTCCCTCGCGGCAACGTCCCGCGTCCCATCAGACTCGTGCTGCTGGTACTTCCTTCGCTCCCTTCCAATCTTGTCCCAAAGTTGCGCCATAACTGTCGTTAAAATCACTCCCGCAGAGCAAGCTCACCGCGGCAAACACAACCTTGCTCTACATCGCCCCCTCCGTTTCCTATCGAGCATGCAGCAGCGTCAAAAGCATGCGCAATGCGGTTCACCCGGCAGTTACCTCCCAGCCCCTTCAGCTCCTCTCGCGCTCCTGCTAGGCAAGCTCTCACTGCCCGGCAGACTCCCCCCGCAATGGCGGCCTCAGACCCCTGGATCGAACAACTTCAGGGCACTTTACAGCACTCAGGTAGCGTAAAAGTCACACCAAGGGCCTCAAGACAAGAGGACAGACCAGAGACGGCTCCTCCATGCTCTGACTCGTCTCTAGAGAGCATCGACTGGTCCAGGGCATGAAGAAAATTCTCCTGCTGGATCCTTACGAGCTCGAACCCTCCAAGGCCTCTAGGAACGTCGATCGAGAGTGTTCACCTTGGCAGGTAGTGCAGGAGCTGCTGGAAGCTTCTCTCAACTGACCTCATAATCTCTGCCCTGCACGGTGAGGAAACAGGCTGCGAGGCAATAATCCCAGTCCACTGTCCATCTACCTTGAGGTTCTGACATGTTGAGGTGTACTGTCTCGACGCTGATCTCCTTGTGCCTCATGAGCTTCTCAAGCTCGAATCCAACCACAGCACCATCCTCTGCCAGGATCCTGAAGACCACATCCTGCCTCTTGCAGGATTCCAGCAAGCCCAATACCATGCGCTCCTTTCCCCTCTGAGCACTCAAAGTCAGGGGCGATCATTGGTCGTATATTCCCGTGCATGCTCACAGGTGCAAACACCATGACGACTGGTCTCGTCGGCTCCCAGTGCGAGCCTGACTGCCTGCACTCCGAGGACTCCACGAAGCCTGTCATGGCAACAAGTGAGCAGCGGACGAGGCGTTGATGCGGGGCGCACATGCTTTCTTGGAACTGACTGGCTCCGAGATGAATGTGTCAGCTTGTTTGAGGTACAACTCAATGCCTGCATCCTGCAAGAACGTCGAGGTAAGTGGAGAGGTCGACTTCTACAGCAAGGTATCATTTCTTGCGCCCCAACGTTAATTGTTCTCCTGGATCTCACTCCGATCCCACCAGACATCAAGATGAGCAGCACAACAATGCTCATCGCCATCACAAGCATCGCAGTCACGCGCGTCAGCAGCAGCGCCTACCTCTTCGCTGAGTCCTCCCGCCATTCCGACCACTAGAACAGCCAGCGCCCATCTCGCCATGCCTGGCATGGCAGACCCCGACAGGCAAGGGCAGCAAGTACACAGCTATCATAAATATTTGCTGTCCTCTGAAACCTTCTATTCCGGAGCGAGCCTGGAAACTTGACTCACAGAAGGTTGCAGGACGTGAGCAAAAAGGGCACATGGGCATAACGGTACGTGACTTGACTGATGACGGTAACCTGACCTGACCTAAAAACGAGTCGATTCGGCTCTCCGAGAAGCTTAAATAGAGATCTCCGTTAGAACGTGCCTTTAAGCCCACATAGTTCGATTACCCCACCTTCTCCCCTTTTTGTACCCCTACCCCCTTCCGCCCCTTGCTCCCCTTTATCAATCAGCCCTCGCCCGACCAGTCCTTCCACGCGCTCTCTGCCACGAGCAAGAAGTTCCCTCTACCACACGAAGCTCGAAGCCTCTCCCTGATAACTGACACTCCAAGAAGACCAAGACTTGATCTGAACCCATCCTCTCCTGAACTGAGCCATTGCGAGATCGAGGATCCAAATCCGAGAAATGAGAAAACCTTCACAACAACAATCACTTGAAGAGGAACTGCAACTTTTGTTGCGGATGCAACAAGAAGGACAAGATTACAGTCTTGACTCTGGCAAAGAGAATGATGCGAAGGAGGTGAAAAATCGTGTGAGAGCCTTGAAAAATAGGCTGGCTGCCAAGAAATCACGGGATCAAGCAAGATGCTACGTTCAGAAACTTGAGGCCCAAATCTCCACGCTTCATGCGCAGAACGATGGACTGTCTCAGCAGCTTTCGCTTGCAAACTTCAAGATCCAGTCTTTGGTTGCCGAGAACGAGAAGTTGAGACGAAGACAAAGAAGTGACACCAAACCAAGGCAAGATTCAATTGAGCGGAAATACAAGTACGAATCAAGATATGCTGGAGGTCTGATGGTCGAGACCAACGACGACGTCGACGGCTCTTCCGATAGTCAGTCGTATCACTCCTCCCCGGTCAACTTTCTAGCTTCAGAGCCGCCAGCAATGGGCGTTGGGCTGGTGACATTAGAGCAGTGGCGAAAGGAGAGGCGCCGTTTGCAGCACCGGAAAGCACAGCGGAAACAAGACCATGCTGCCAACCACAAGAGCAGAACGGAGAATCTCAAGACCGAACAGTCAACAGAGGTGCAGAGCATGGAGTACTCCCAAGCTGAGCCCGTTCCTGTCAGTCAAGAGTCACAGTCCGTCCAGATTGCATCCGGCTGGCAAGGGACTTTTACTTTCACAACGCCGTCTCAGGAGCCTAATGATTTTCCTCCCCCGTCCTTGTCCAGGAACTCTTCAAACGGTCTATCTCTCTCCCGACAGAACTCTTTTTTTCAAACTGCGCGGGAGGGAGAAGAGTTCTGGCTCAACCAGCTCTCTTATTGCGAGATAACAACAATGTAGAAATGCCTTGCAGGGTTTGAGTGCTTTCTCATTTTGTTTTTTTTTGTTTATTCAAATAAATATGAGTTTGATGTGATAGGTTTGTAGCATCACTCTACAGAATGCAAAAACACGTTAAAACATGAAATGAGCTTATCGCGGGATTTGACATCCCCTTCCTCGTCCTCTATTGCACAGACAAAATCCATGTGGTTATCGAGCACATCTCTGAGAACTGACTGAGATTTTTCTACCTGGGAAATACATCTGCGTCTTCAAGGTTCTGCGCCCTCCTCCCTGTCAAGTTGCGGAGCCCGTCTGATTCCATGCCAGACGCACAGGACATGACCAGAGTGGTATAGGGGATGTGAGTTTTACTACTGGAACCCAAATTCACGGAATGGCGTCAAATCAGCAAGGGAGCAAAAAACGAAGGAGGGACATGGTCATTCAGCGACGGGGGGACATGACTTTACATATCCCCCAACGATGGGGGACGTGATCAGATGATCCGGTCCCAATGGAAGGAGCGGGATGTGATCAGGGACATGATCTCGATCGTAGCATTTAAAATAGTTGTTGACCATGGGGACGTGACTGCTGAATAACGGGCTCCGCGGGCCCGGGCCGGAGTAGTCACTGAGTAGTGCCAGGGCCCGGCGACTTTGGCGCCGCCAGGAGCAGTTTCAAATCAGTTACAAATCACACCGTTCTATTTCCGGAAGAGTGAAGACATGCCGGGAGGGGGGCGCAGCGTGGGAAGCGGAGGAATGGCAGCTCAAGGTCTCCTCCTCCTGCTCGTCCTCTTCGTCGAAGTTAATGCAAATCAACAAAAATCTCCCCAAGAGGTATGTGCCGTCTTGCTGTTGAGAAGGGAGGTCGGAACAGTCAGTCGAGTCCTTCCTTGTCGTGGATGAACTTCTGCCTCTGTTGCTGCATGCGAGAGTGTCGAGAGGGATTCAAGTGCAACTGATCTTTCTTCTGTAGGAGCTTAAAGCTAAGATTTCTGCGATTCACGCCTTGTCACAGACATATTTAAAGAAAGTTCCTCAAAGCGTAATGGCTGTTCACGCGAATCATGTACCGGGACAAGTGCATGCCACATCAATGCAAGCGTTTTCAAAAAATCAAGTGAACATCCAACCAAAAACTGGAATGAAGCTAGCGTCAGCGACACCTTCAAATGCTGATGCCAAGGATCCGAGGATGAACAATGGGAAATTTGATTGGCTTCTCAAGGAAACAAGTCCCCTGTACACAGCCGCCAAGAAAGCTGTTTCAGTAGCTGCGAATAAGCTTAGTCTGAATGCAGCTAACACACCGAAGGGTGCTTTACAGTTGCAGGCATCCAATGGAACTGATGCTAACACCACGGAGACGAACTCTCAGGGGGATAGGAGGCTTGAGAATGGGGGGGGGGATTCGGATGACATCACTTCGGAGTTCAAGATGACAAAGAAGAATGAGCTATATTTCTTTATCACGTACTGATCGCGTGCCCCATGCTTGCAAGTGCCAACTCTGACGCTGTCGTCCGTAGGTGGATCATTGTCCTCTTTCTGGTGATTGGCGTGTTACTCTTGTGCATTGCCTACGCTCGAACCATGTTGGGCGCGGATAATCAGAAAGTTCCTCCCTCAAATGTAAATGTCGTTTGTGTCTTCATTGCGTGTGCTCTCCTGCAGTGTTTAATGTGCTCACTCCTGACTGCAGGCCAAGAATGGTTTGGGAGCACCAGGATATGGAGCAGCAGGAAGGATTCATTAAGAGCTTGGTTAAAGCTCCCTATGTGTGTAACTATTTTCAACCTCTTTTGCGAAGGAATTTGATGAGAGGATTGATCAAAACTTGGCTGATTCATATTAATGATCAGTCCGACAGAACAGTGGCATGTTGTATCATTGAATTTTTATCAGTTCGGAATACATTAGACAGAATGATTTGGGCGGCAGGCGACTACAGGCCTGTACATAGTACCAATAGCAGTCCACAAAGATTCAACAGATGTTAATCGGTTCAAAGATTCAACAGATGTTAATCAGCCGGGCGATCTGGGGAAGGGCCGGCGGCGGGCCCGGGCGGCCGGCCGAGTCCGATCGCCGGCGGGGAGGATGGGACCTTGCTGATCGGCGGAGCCGGCCCCAATCCGATCACACTGGCAGCCGCTGGCTTAGTCTCGCCACTGAGTCGGGCCTGCGTGGCGGCCGCCGCCGGGCCCTAGACAACAGGCTTGAGTTTCCGCCGCCCGGCGCTGCGCCGCTGGCCCGGCCCTGAGGCCGCCCGGCCGCAGTGGCAACCAGTAAGCCTGCCTCACTCCCCTGGCGATTCAAGAATGTGAACTTGAAGCGGGCCCGGGTAATCGGGGTGATCATCGGATAGTAAGCCTCAGAACTCATGACAACTTTCAACGGTTGGCCGGGCATCAGCCAACTGGCAAGGCCATGCTACAGTTGCTACTAAGAGGATTCCCACTGGCTCATTGACATAGAACGTTGCGGAAGTTGACATACTGCTTGTGAAGGTGCTGCTTCACGTTGTACATCTCATCGAGCAACACCTGCTCCTCCCCATCATCTCTCCGCGTCTGCCCCCCCACTCAGCCTCTCTACACTCACCTGAACCTCGCAGATGTGCCGCCGCAGGCCCTGCGTCTCGTCCCACTGCTTGAGCGGAATGAAAGTGCATGCCCCACTCTTGGCGTTCACCGTCCACCCCACCTGACCTCTTCACATCAGACTACCTCCTCCCACTCCCCCCTTTTCTCCCTTCACCACCCCCTTGTTCACCCCGAGCTCTGTTCACCCCACTCCGTTTCTTCTCCTCCTCTTCCCCCCTGCTCTCACCTCAAAGCACACGCAAAGATCCCTGTACCCCCCGCAAGATTGAAAGTCGTACTTGCGGTCATACCTGCAGCCCCCATAACTCTATCGCCTCCCTTGCTACCTCCACTCACCTGTTCTTGATGCTTGTGATGTTCAAGTACACATCTCCTTGCACCCCGCTTCCTGACTGCACAGCGAAAGTCCATCAGGCGCCTTTCACCTCACCCTCTTCCCTCACCTCGAGGTCACCTTGGCACGTCTGCTCCAGCTCCTCCAACATCGACCTGCCCAGTCCTGCTGCTACCGCCGACATCGACCGTACTTGCCGCACCCACTCCAGCACCTCCTCAATCGACTTGACCACAACGGTGCATCGCACGAGGTCCGTCAAGCAGGAGGGGTCGCGGTGGTACGACCTCACCGTCTTCTGGATGGCTCGCTCGCATGACTTCACCTTCCCGTACTCCACCCTCCCCATTGGGTTCCACTGGCCCACCCACAGCTGGAACGCCGCGCTGATCTCGTGCGCTTCCTCAAACAGCTTCTCCAGACTCTTGCTGTGCTGCCGGATCTTATTGCTCCTCACCGAGTACCGCGATGCTTGCCTGCCCATCAACCTCGACCACACCCTTTCCCACAAACTCGCTTCCCTTGTTGTCCACGCCTTGAGCTTCAGGGAGATCACCAGGACTTCATTGCTGATTTCATCCAACTTGGTTGATGACTTTGACACAACCCTGTCCCAGGTCTTTTCGAATCCTTCCATTGCAATATGGAGCTCTTTGAATGTCTGCCGATAGGATAACGAGTACCTGACCACAATGACGATGACAATCAGCCAAGAAAGAACTCCCAGCACCAGGAACACGTGCTTTGTGTTCTCCTCGATCGTCAGCCCGTCTCTCAAGCAGTAAGCTCCATGAAGCAGAAACACCACAATCCAGGCATAGTGCTGCACGAAGTGAACAAAAAAAATCACAATCAGGATGCATGCAATCAGCACAAAGGAAGAAAGTCCGCTGCACGACGACACAAAACCCGCATCGTCAGGATCGCACTGAATGAAATCCGACGCCGATGCAACGATCTTCAACCACAGGATAAGATGCATGGAACCTACCAAGACGCGCTTCGCGTTCAAGGGTGTGCTGTACTTGCTCACTGCGATCGCTGAAAGATACAGCACACCCCACAAAAACGCCAAGAACGAGTCGATCACTCTTGACACCTGAACAGTCTTCGGATGCTTCAACTCTTTGGAATTAGCGTCCACCATGAAGACAGAATTGGTAGCCAACATTCGTTGGACCATCACTGCCCCGAAGAACATCTGATCCAGGCCTCCAAACGCAATGCAGCACTGCGCAGGAGTCTTGAGCAGTGCCGTTTCGAGCGAGTTGCTCGATCTCAGCGCAAGTATCCCGTCCACATCATCGTCCCGGTACAGGCTCAGTCTGGTGTTCAACGGCAGGAAACGCTGATCCTGAGCACAATTCTTGACTATCTCCCCTATTGCCTCCACTGCCTCGTCGTAAAATTCTTCCTTCGCCTTGTTGATCCGCTCGCACGGGTTCTCGCTGTCCTCGCACGCCTTTGTCCTCCCCGTTGACGTCGTCGTGCTCACGGCAGACAGCCGATCCAGAGAGTCGATGCTCCGCAGGGCGAAGAACTCGTGCAGCAGCTGGTACTTGTTCGTCGCTTGTAGCACCTGCAGCATCTCCATCCCCCGCGGGTTGTGCTTCTCAAAGTGCCAAACCTTCTCCACCACCTGCTCCCTCAGTTCCTTCACGAGATGGTTCGATATCATCTCCACAGCTCCCTTCGCAGCTCCCTTCGCTCCCATGTCCCTCTCAACCATGTACCATCCGCATGCCCCGCTCACTGCCCCAGGACAAGCGTCCAGCCCCAGATCCCCCCTGCTGGAGTTTGACAGAAGTTTCATCACCGCCAGTCTTACCGATATCCCGCTCAAATACTTCACTATCTTCTCAGGCTCCTCCTTCACTCCTGCTCCCTGTAGAATGCAACTCGCACTCTCGCTATTCAGCTTCGAGCCTGCCGAGCTCAGCCTCTCTATGGCGTCTCTCAGCGACACACGCCCTCCTCCCTCGTCTCGAAGGATCGGCAGCACTAGCCTCACCCTACCCGCTTTCGTCTCCAGCAGGTAGATCATCGCCAGTGCAACCTGCAGAAAGTCGTTCTCTGTGTCCGCCTCCTCCCGCACTTGTTCCAGCGTCCCCAACACACTCGTCGCCCTCCCCCACGTGACCACCGGAACGAACATGGTGCAGTTGCAGACAAACTTCTCCTTGCTGAAGGCGTGCCGGTTCAGCGACAGGTATGATATGCAGTCAGCGTCCAGGTAGGTCTTATGAGCGTAGATTTTGAAAAGCCATGATGACTCTTCCTCTAGCCGCTCGTGCGTCAGCCGATGAAGCTCGTCGGCAAACTCCTGCTCATTGAACCCTCCCAGCAGCTTCTTGCCTGACTCTTCGGGGAGCGTTGGGGCAACTCCATCGGGTCTCTTGATGGGGTGCCAGCGGAAGATGAAGAAGTGAACGTTGTCATCCGAGTACCGCAGAGAGCTTTGAGACTTGCGGTGGAGGACGTTAAGTCGGGAGGGCTGCTTGAAGAGCACAAGCAGCTTTGAGCTCATTCGAAATCCGCAAGATCCTTGATCAGGGTATACCCGAACTATCGTGGAACAGTAGCTGTGTCGAGGTCCAGATCCGTCACGTTCCAATTCCTTTCAACATGTGAACATGATAGACACGCCACACATGAGAGGCATTCTCGGGACGCGGAGATGAACGAGACCGGTAAGGGGTGCAGGGATAAGCAGAAACAAGGAAAGCGCTTGCGGGGAAAGGGAGGTATGCGACTGGCAGGAAAGGGCGGAAAAGCAGAATAGAGCTACGAGCTGAGGGAGGAGAGGAGGGTGAGGAGGGAGAAGTGGGGGAGGAGACAGAAAGCAGAGAGAAAGCAGAGAGAGAAGAGAGAGAGAGAGAGAGAGAGAGAAGAGAAGGACTGTGTATGTGCGTGTTGGGGATGCTGAACGAAGGTTGTCTTGAGACAGAAGTGATTTCCGGAATGTTCGATTTCTCACCTCTTGATTTCAAATTATCACCTCTCATCATTCGAAAATCTTCCACTGATGGTCTTTTAGTCAACAGCGATCAATGGTCATTCTTGCCGGAGTTGCTTTTTTTTTTTTTTAATGCTTTGTAGGTTTTCGTGAGTTGTTCAAGATTTGAAATGCGTTGTTTTTATTCCAAAATAAAGAACTAAATATAGTACCCCCGGTGAAATTATTCGGACTAGGCTAGGGGAGTTTTCATATCATCCGCACTTCACCATAACGCGGATAATATTAACAAGAAAATGTTTAGAGGTAAGTTGTTTGTTGCCCTCAAAAATAAAAAAAAACCAGAAAATCGCTTCATCCAAAGTGGGGTAGGAGCACGGGCATTTAGCAGGGTAGGGTACTGTATTCCATTTTAGAAATCGCAGGGGTTAAAATGGCCTATCGATGACGGGTGGGTGGACCTGCCAAGTGCAAAGCTGTCAGAATATCACAACGGCTCGCTGGAGATCGAAATCTTGAAACTTAAAAACAGAACGGTTCGTGTTTATTTTGATTGATTACACCACCCCACCCGTAGTTGCTCTGGCTAGATACTACCCCAACATTTATACCCACCAACAAACACCATGTACCCTTGAAACCCCTTGCAAGTACCCCCTTACATAAGAATTCAAAACACTACCCCCACCCTCAATCTTTTGCTCATCCTCTCACATCACTTGTGCCTACCCGGCCTCCGAGCAACAAATTACCACCCCATATCTACCGACAACCCCCCTAGACTAAGTGTAACATACGGGTAGTCCTCTACAACCTGGTGTACCTTTTTGTAGGTACCTACACTACCCCTACTCCTTATCCTACCCCTACCCCCTTCGTATGAAGAGCGCAACCCACTCCCCTACATAGCAGGACATAGGCTAGGTGGCCTGAGATAGGTGATCCGAAGTCCTAGGTTGGATATGACTCGGGTCTATCCGAGTCTCGGAACGAGTTGTTTTAATCCTATGGCGAAAGCGAACAGAAGCGAAAGGGAGGAGATGAGAGGGCGGGAAAGGGAGGATGTAGGAGGCACACATGGGGTCTATAGGGAGATATACGAGGATGCCAGATAGGATAATTGAAAGAGGGAGAGGAGACGAGTGATCGAGCGGAGGAGAAGAATAGTCCGTGGGGTTCAAATGCAATAAGCAAGAGAGAAGTTAGGGAGAGGGATAGAGGGCAAGAGCTCTCGTGATGTGCACAACGAAAGGAGGGATAGCGAATCGGATGAAGCATTCAGCCCAAGAATGCCAGGGGAAGGAAAAGTTTGGCGTGCAGGAGCAGGCAAAGTGCTCCGCACAAAGTGATACAAATACAAAGGATTCTTGCGGAAAGTCCTAAAAACATCACGGAGAGTGCAGAAAACTGGTGCTCTAGGTAGAAAGAAGAAACATAGTTGGCAGGGATTTCTGGTTTAAATTTAGTCTGTTGACCATGGGGAAAATGGCCTGACCATTTCATAGGCTCAAGAAGATCGGGACTGTTTTGTGAGCTAGAAAAGCAAATGCCATGATTTGATGAGCGCCTGTTGATTCATGACAGCCGAACATTGAAAAGCATTGGATCAATTGGGACGTTGACATCTTGTCGTAACTTGTTGTATGGACAGAGAATAGTGTAGGAAGAAGCGTGAAGAAAACATCAGCACAAGAAATTTGGTTGGAAGTCTTCTGGGTTGTGACGAACATCGAAGGAAGGAAATGACTCTTGTATCCCCTTCATCGACGCTTCCAGATGAATGGCAGGAGCGGTCGACATCGAGGATCTCACTCAAACGGAACAAACCTCCGACTCTCACCTGCTACATACCTCTTGTCAAGGTCGATGACCCGCTGGTGGGGAGCTCGGAGACTGGCGACAATGGCAAAGAGCAGGAAGAATGGCCGGTGTTTCATCGGAACAGCATAGGAAGGAGCGAGAGCAGCTCGTCGTCAACGAGCTCCAGGACCAACACTGTGTCCTACTTTGCCAGGTGGGATGAAGACAGAGGGCCGGGGTCGTTCAACCGGATCACAGGAGTCCTTGAGAACGGAAGGGTCTTGATAGAAGGTCACGAGTACGAGAGCCTGAAGGACTTCGTGGATGACATCCGCAATGGTCAGCTCGCCTTCAGCCATGGCGGCCATGGCGAAGGGGAAGAGGGGCCAAGTTCTCTTGCCTGCACTCCCTCCCATGGCCATGGCGTCCCTCCAACCCCGAAGCGCATGACGAGCTATGCTGAGGCGCATGCGAACAAGTTCTCCCTCGTCTTCTCGTGAGCGGGGGTGTGAATAGTGTGCAAACTGAATCTACATGAACATCTGGTACATAGAAAGACTGTGTGATGATCTGTACAGTAAAGACTTCAATCCAAGACAAGCATGCGATCGCTGCCAGAGGTTTCTAGATTACATCCCGTCATCAACGGCCTTGTTCCTCACTTCCCAGTGACATGGTCCCCGAGCTCTAGCGGTGAGGCCTCCTCCACTAGCTCGGCTTGTTGCTGCGGTTTCATGAGTCTGGCTAAAAGCAAGCAGACGGAGAAAGAGGGGACAGAGGGGACAGTACCTTAAGCCATAGGGCAAGATCGTTCTCCGAGTGAACTCGCGACCCATTTCTCTTTCCGCCAGCTCGCTTCACAGCTATACAAACATGAGCGTCCTCCGCTTCCTCTCCCTGAGACCCTGCCCCATCCTCCCTCTTCCTGCTCTTCTTCTCTCCCTGCACTCTCCTCTCCTTCTTCATCACACACGTACCTGTAGGATGGAGCGATGGAAGGGGAGCGAGCACGTCAAGGGACTCCGCACTCTCCTTGCCAGGCAATTCAAACTTCCTCCTCTCGGCGTCTGCCTCGAACTCCGCCTAGAGGAGGAGGATGCACGTCAGAAGCGTTTCTCCCTCTCTTTCTCCTGCCTGCCTGCCTGCCTGCCTGCCTGCCTGCCTGCCTGCCTGCCTGCCTGCCTGCCTGCCTGTCACTCAATCTCACCTGCTGCGCAACAACTTCCTTAAGGATCGCTTGCGCCTCTGACTCGAAGGCCTCCAGTACTGTGCAGTTGCAAGAGCTCTTGGAGCCCTGGGGAAGAAAGGAGAAAGGGGGTGGGGTGAGGGACAGGAAGAGGAAGGAAGGGAGGAAGACAAAAAGGGGAGGGAGAGAAAGGGAAACGCAAGGAGGATGCGACAAAGAGCAGCGAGGAGGAGACCAGTATGGTAAGACCGGGCAGCGGGATGAAAGCACTCAGCAGGAGGAGATGCTGTGAGGAAGCACTGCTGGAGGAAGAGAAAGGGACGAGTCACACACCTGCGACGAGGTTCGCACCCTGACAGCTCCGACTGAGGAAAGGCTCTCTTCATCCTCGCTGCCCTGGCTCTGCAAAGAGCCGCAGAGCTCCTTCCTCTTGTCGTCCAGCCTCAAGCAGATCTTCTGGAACGCTTCTCGCAGTTCCTTGAGCCGCTGCTGCTCCCGCGCCACGTGCTCGGCTCCTTTGGGAGTGAAGCAGTTCTGTGAAGGAATGGTGAGGACGAAGAGCTTGCGGAGGTAAGCAGATGGAGGGAACGCACGCAGGCTTGTAGGAAGGCATGATACGAAAGATGACAGGAGGTGGAGGAGGAAGGAAAGGCATGGAGGGAGAGCATCGGGGGAGGGCATGGAGGGAGTAGAGGGAGGGAGGAGTTTGAGGAATAGAGGGAGGGGAAGGAGGGAGATTGTTCGATACATCGATGTTGTCCTTCTCTGCTACTGAGTCGCAGATCAAGTTCGCCACCAGCCGCATGTCCCACTTGCATTCGAAGCAGAGCTCCGTCGCCTTGGCCGTCATGGCACGGAAGGCAGGGTCCGCCATCTCCTTGCCGATATGCTGGTAGAGAAGCTTGTTTTTCTGATCATAACATGTGAGGAAGAGACAACGAGGGCTCTTGTTGTGTGTGATGATTGCACAAGTAGGTAATTCAGCGAAGGAGGAAGTGGAGAGGAGGAACAGGAACAAGGCTGGGAAGCATCGGGTGTGAAGATCATCGTATGATGGAAGGGGATGGCTGATAGGCTAGAAGAACACAAAGAATGACGGTGAACAACATGCACATCTCATGTTTGTATCATGACTTTCTCGTATGTCTGTTCGTCACCTCCATGAGTTTGTTGAGTTGGTCTGACACCGTCTTGGGCACCTCCGACATGGCCTGTTCCCCAACGTTAGTCTCGACCAGCCCTGAGCTCTCAAGCTCCCACCTCCCTCCCTGTCGCCAGCTTGCAGAACTTGACGTCTTTGAGCTGAAGCTGACTGTCAACAATCTCTCCTCGCCGACACCCGTGACCTCACCTTCGCTGCTCCTGCTCCTCCTGCTCCCCCCTCGCTCGGCTTTGTCGAACTCTCACTTAATGTCGACCGGTTGTCAAGATCCAGGGAAGGAGGCATGAAGTCATCGTGCTGAGTACCAGGAGACGAAGCCTCCGAGAAGAACTTGAGTGGGAGCGTCAGGCACCAGCAACGAGGAGAAAGACACAAGGATGACGATGAGAGGGGAGGAGGACGACGAAGACTCTTGTCGGGTTACAGTAACAAGACAACAGGGAGGATGTAGGAGCGCCAGCGGAAGAGGAGGAGGAAGATGCAGTTGAGCAGCAGGAAAAATAGGAACAAGAGCACTCGACAGAAAATCTTCAAGTCAACAGCAGAACAGTGTTCATCCAGCAGAGGAGAAAGGGGACGTTTGAGCAGGCAGAAAAGCAAGAAAGAAACAACAAGTCAAACAAAGGCATCACGTCACCTTGTTGACAGGCGGGTGGAGCTCAGGGGAGGACAAGACAGTCCAGACTGGAGCGACGTACTGGAAGTCAGAGAAGACATCGTTGGCCTTGGGGACTGCAAAGGGGACAGCAGTCACTGCCATCATCATCGCTTCCTCCTCGTCATTGTTCTTTCGTACCAGTCTTGATCTCTGCGTCAGCGCTGATGTGCGAGAAATCGACCTGCAAAATAGGGTTTGAGAAAGACATGCTGATGGAATGAAAGCGAGAATGGCAGGAAAGAAAAAGGATGGGAGGGAGGGAGGGAGGGAGGGAAGGAAAAGAAACCATTCATGCAGCGAGCAAACGCGTTACACAGAGTGGCCTCCCCCCCCCTCCCCCCCCGCCTTTGTTGTCAATAAGCTTCAATTCCTTCCTCTCATCCCACACATCACGGTCACCGTGAAATTTGGCGAAAAATTCTTCACGTCTGTGATGTCTCGAACTCTTGGCTTGAAGGGTGGCTCCTCCTTCTCAATCGTCACTTCCACTTCCCAATGAATGTTATTCTCAACATCCACTCCCTCTCCGTCCCTAGTCCTCAGTGTTTCCCTCCTCCTGCTCCAAATCTCTTCTGCTTTCTTGTACTCTGCTCCCTGCATCATCATCCTTCATCCTCTCCACTTCTCTTCCCGCCCCTCCCTCTCTTCCTGCTCTTCCACTCTCCTGTCTCCTTCTGACCGTCTCACCTCCATGGCGAGCAGTTTGTGCCATCGGACTGGCTCTAGCCAGGAAACATTCTTCCATTTCTTCTCGATGCTTGTTGCGTCGTAACCCTGCTCACCGAGTATCACCCCCCCGAAGGCTCCTGCCCTTTTCTCTGTCTCCTCATCATAAACTCGCCCTCCCAACCACCCTCGCTCCCACCCTCTCACCCACCCTCCCTCCCACCCCTTCTCTTTCTCTACTCCCTTCCTCTCTCTCTCCGCCCCCACCCCCCTCCCCCTCCTCCTAGTCTTGCCCAGCTCTTCCATTTCTTGTCTATCTCACCACTTGTTCATCCGTCACGTCTTCCCGCCCAAGTCTCTTGGAGCTGTCAACGTTCAACTGCACAGCACAAAGTCAGCTCTCCTCCTTCCTCTCCGTCCTACTCCTCTCCGTCCTACTCCTCCTCTCCTCCCATCCTCCCATCCTCCCATCCTCTTTGTCCTAGCTTCCAATCCTCCACCATCACTCCCATTCCTGCTCCTCACCAGCCCTCGAACCATCCGTCGCGCCTCGCTGGAGATGTTGGAAGGAAACTCGATTGGCTGAGTCAGCAGCGCCTCATACGCCTTCTTTGTGTTCTCCTGGTAGAAGGGCGGAAGACCCACGAGCATCTCGTAGATAAGGATCCCAAGCGACCACCAGTCTGCCTCCTTGCCATGCCCCTGCTTCAGCAGAATCTCCGGCGCCATGTAGTAGGGAGAGCCAACCTGTGAATGGCTGGTAAGATCGGAGGGATCAGGGAGAGAGGAGGGAGGAGGGAGGAGGGAGGGGTTTCAGGGAAAGAAGAAGAAGAAGAAGAGAGGAGGGAGAGAGGAGGGAGGGAGGAAGCGGGTGAGAGGAAGAAAGGAGGAAAAGAAGAGTAGGAAGAAAGTGAGACGACAGAAAGAGCGACGAGAGAGGCAAGGTCTGAGCAACAGGGGAAGATGCCAGGGGAGAGGAGGAGATATCAGAGAAGGCTCTCGTCTTACCATACTGAACGCACGATCATCGTCGCTCTGGTCGTCTTTGCTGTGTCCGAAGTCGGTGAGGCGGATGTGGCCCTTCTCGTCGAGCAGAATGTTCTCAGGTTTCAGGTCCCTATAGATGATATTCATCTTGTGTAGATACTCCAGCGCCAAGATAATCTCAGCTGCGTAGAAGCGAGCTCGCGGTTCGGAGAAGTGTTTTTCCCTTGTAATGTAAGAGAAGAGCTCACCCCCGTTGATGAAGTCCATCACAAAACAGAGCCGGTTGGCAGTCTGGAACGCATAATGCAGCTGGACAATAAAGGGGTGGTTGACGACTTCCAGTATCCTCCTCTCGGCTTTTGTGGACTCAACGAGCCACCGCTTGTAGACTGACTTGTCGATGTTGATGATGCCCCGAAGATGCTCTCTGTCCTGAAGCTCCTTCTCAAACTCTGCCCGAGTCTGCTCCTTCTTCTTTAGCGTGTCTTTCCGGATGATCTTCATGGCGTATATCTTGCCAGTATCAAGCTTCTTTACCTTTGAACGCATCATTCGACAGAGAGAAAAATACTAGTCCGCAACCTGCAGGACTTTCCCATATGCTCCCTTCCCAACAATGTTGAGGAGTTCAAAATCGGATATACAGACTCCCTCCCTCCCTACTCCCAGAAATCCTTCGATCTTCTTGACCCATTCAAGCAGCTGCAATCCAAGTCACTTTGTGTTGAGCTCACTCACAGGAGGAAGAGAAGAGGAGGACGGAAAGAGCAATCGAATGAGTCCACAAGCATAGATGACACAGCAAGCAGGTCAGGCATCTATACAGCGGGATACAGGCATTCGCATCAGAAGGACTCGAGTCACTGAGTCTCACTGATGATCGGTTGGGAGCTTCGAGGAAATATTCCCTCCGATGAGGGTGAAAGATGCCTGACATCAGCAAGTCAACAGAGGCTCATGTCGTAAGAGCGTGAGGGAAACCGATCGTGTTAAGTTTCTTGGTGTGCTGCAAACAAACAATCACACGAGAAACGACAACAAAACAGGCAAGACCTGTTCCGCCGTAGCTAGGGAGCAACCGGCAAGATCGATGACACCTTTGGGCCTGACATCATTGATCGCGTTATATGGTTTTCACAAAAGTATGGGTTCAACTTCTTCTGTGAAAGGAAATCCTTCTCGTCCGCCCAGTACATGATCTTCCCTTCGTAAAGAACAAAATACCTCTGCTAGCATGTCATCATCACAAGACCTCTAATCACAGCATTCCTGCTGCCAGCGCTTGACAAGCCTGCGAACCACAAGTCACGAGAGGACGGCAACAGCACTTCTGAAAGACCTGCTCTTCCCTTGCTTCGCGAGGTAACCCCTTCGGCGCAGTCAGCAACAACGGACGACAGAGAAAGATGTCACACTTTTGCAGTGGAGTCTTGCCATGTGGAAAATCCTCTTCCTGCGATCTCTTGGACCCTGGAGACGACAGATGCATCGCTGAGATCTACGTTTGCCACGTCAACCGCACGCGGGCCATCCCTTGAGGAGGAACGCACCTTGGGTGAAGACGAAATCCAACGGCTGTGTGCCTACTAACATGTCACGATTGCTGACACAGTGACGATACATCTGTACATGGCTGCCGTCCATCGAGTCATGGCTCCTCCTCTGTCAGCGAAGGGCACCGTGAGTTTGTGACTAACAAAGGGGAGCGGGAGGTAATCTAGCCTTACCTCAACCCCTCCGTCATGGTTTGGGCTGCTATGGAAGCCAAACCCCCATCCTGTGCATCTGTCAGCTGCAACCTCAATAACACAAGGGTGCGATCTATTGCCTGCATGGAAATCCATCTCCTGGAAATGGATTCACTTGACCAATGATGCTTTCCCGAATGATTCTTGCGTTTGCTGAACAATGTACTCTGTTTGAAAATGAGGCATCGACAAGCAGGGCATGAAAGTGTTTTCTATGGGTATGACCCTGTCTCCAACTTCCTTTGTTTGCACACATCCGCAATGACTATGCTTTCGCATCTCTCCACTTTCATTCTACCTCGCAGCACCCATTCCCCTTTTTGTGGATACGTCCTTCACTGCAATTCTGTTTGATATCCAATTTCTAGCTCTAGTTCATCTACAATGTCCATATGGAAATACTGGATGCATTCTCCACTACCCCCAGTCTGCCCAACCTTGATGCCCTGCATGTGAGCGTAATCGTTCTGCCTTTGCATCCTTCTTACTCGTGTCCTAGATGGCAGGCGTTTCTTACACCACATGAAGAAATCCCTCCTATGATTCAGCTCGCATCTGATTTCCCTCCTTGCATTCTAGTCCATTCATCTTCCCCTGCTTCTTCCCTGCTGACTCGCTCGCTGTCTCACGAAGTACCACAATGCCTCCACCCCCCCCCCCCCCCTTCCCCCCAGCTCACTCTCATTCCGCCTCTACCTACTTTCTCTGCCAACATATCCTTCGCAATTTTGACTCTACTCCCTCCCTCCCTCCTCTCCTCCCTCCTCCTCCTCTCCTGCTTCATTCGCCTTTGTAGTTTTCGCCATGAGGCCAACCATCTCGAAATGTCCCCCACATCCCCTAAAGTTCCGTCCACCCCCATTATAGCCACCACCCCCCAAATCCCCCGCAAAACTCGTGGAAATACCACCACTACCCCCCTTTAGTTGATGACAAGTATTGAGCCGACTTCTTCGACAGGCTTCATCTTCTTTTGGGTCTTGGTTATCAAATAGTTTATTAAAGTTTAAAATATCATGATAATTTTTCGCTGTGATGGAAAATCTTCGAGGAGCAAACACGACAAACTCGCGGGGTCCTGACTCCCTTGGGCTGACGGACAGCAAGTTGCAAGGAGCCTCATCCCCAGTACCACAATAATATTACTCAACTCCATTATCTCGTACTGCGGCCTCTGTCGATTTGGTACAAAATCAGGTGTACTGATTATTTTACTTAGTAACAATAACGGTTCAAGTAACGGTTGACGAGTCCTGTACCCGGGCCCGGTCGTCACGGGCAGCAAGTCCGGGGAGTACAGGCAACTCAAATGTCCGCTTATATCTGCGGGAGGGGGTGGTGTGTAAAGGAAAAACAGGGGTGAAAGTAGGTGGGGGTAGTCCGCTGGAATCCCGCTTTGAAGTGGGGCGGATACGAGTCCCTGCCAAGATCTTTCAACGGAAGTGTTTCACTAATGTTTCAAATTTGAGATGAAAATATGAAATTATCTTTGCAATTTGGAATTATACACTGAACTTGAAGAATGGATGACCCTCCTGCGCAACGAAGGTCGGAACTCACTTCTAAAGAGCGTGAGATATTAGATCTCGGGCGATCAACCACAACAACAAGCAATCGTCGGCCTTGGTTGTAACACTCCTCAACACTCACAAGTTGATCCTAGACAGAACAAGAAAAAGTTCCAAGTTGTTGAAATCTTCATCAACAGATTGATTCAAACAGAACTGTGCAGATTGACTGTCTTTGCACCAAGCAGCCGCAGCATCCACAAGTTGCCCTCACACATAAGATAGCTAAGGGATCATAATCTGCAAACTGCATGACTGGTCTCCTTCAATTCAGTCTTTTCATCTCCCTCTTTTGCTCGGCCTTTTCTTTCAGTGTCAGTCCCTCCACACTGAACTCGCCACGGTTGGAAGCCTCTGCTGTAAAGAGCATGTTCTGCGAGAAAGTTGCCTCCAGGCATGGATCATCGCGGGCAAGCGGAGTATGCGTGCAGCACATGAAACCCGAACGACTCAAGGAGGAGGTTGCTGGTTTCGTGACCAGTGGTGAGATGAACATAGAGGACCTGCTGAGGGAAACCGACTCCGACCTCAAGATCTCAGAAACCGACCTGAAGAAGCTCAGGTTCGTAGGACTGTCCTTTGCCCGTGCGATGAAGCGTGGTCACTTGCTGGCTTGCAGGGCGCTGCGACTGCAGAGAGAGGCACAGGATGCGATCAACGAAGCCAAGGCTGCCAGGCACAGAGCCGACATTATGAAGCAGAAACTTCCCAAGGAAGATAGGCCCTTCTCGAACGGTGATAACCCTGCATCTTCTTACAGTGCCCACATGAGCGTGTTAATGGCATGCATCAATCGTGTGTTACATCTCTGATTCTCCTCCATTTTCGCTCCTCTAAGTGCGTCTTGCGGAACAGGACTCAGCGATCGGTTGAGCCCCTTGTCAATGCAGATGCACCAACAATCCTTCGAATACTTGTCAAAGTGCCCCATCAGAGAACTTCGGGTTCGTTCGTTTTGTACCCTCAAAACTTCTTGACAGCAGCTTCTGGTTCAGGCGGCTCTAGAAGAGACAAGATGTGTCTTGTTTCAAAAGATAGCTTCTATAGAGCCCCGCGACTTGCTGGTAAGTTTACAATCATTCTTCCTCCGATCTTATGCGCACATGGCAGATTTTGGCAATTGTATTCTATCTTATTTCTGTACTCCAGCTTCAATGAACATAATCATTTTCATCACCAAAACCTGGCTAAACAGTTGTGTGTCATATGGAGTCAGTTTTGATCTCGAGAACACCTGACCTATTAGAATTTACTATGACAGTTTATTTCAGGAACTAGTAGGCAATGGTTTAAAGCGCTTAAAGGAATTTCTTCTTTCCATCACAACCGAGCTTGAATCGTCGCATTGCATGTACCATGATATCCATTGGCTGTCGACCATCTCGGTGTCAGAAATCGGTTGAGTGATTTGAATGTCATCAAAGTCGTCACTGTTGTCTTCCGCATCATCTCCATCCACAGTCCCCTCATCTGTATGCATGCTTTCGCTCCTCATGAAGCAGCTCAGGTCCGAAGAGGAAGCGCTGGATGTGGCACTAAAGTCGTGAAGTCCGTTCCTTGATGTTTGACTAGTTTCGTGGAAAGAAGACTCCTCTGTTGGATCAATTTTTCGATCCGTTGGCTGTTCTATATCGGGCCGGCCTTGCGACGGCTCTCCTTTCCCTCCTCCAGTACTTGGTGTCCCGCTGCTCTTGTTTCCCTTGCAGTATGGCCATCGGGTTATTCCGAGCCGCCTGCATGTGAACTTCAAGCAAGACAAGGAGATTTCCTGTCAGAATTGTGTCAGTATTTCCCACACTGCAATGCAAAACGAGTTCGTACCAGCTGGTTTGCAGCGTCCTCTTGGCGCAGGTGGAAGAGACCAGAGACAGTCTCATAGTCCAGTGTTATCGTCTTGAGTTTCTGTAGCAGGCCTTGTCGTGTTCTAGTCGTCACAGTAACGGTTCTTCTCTCTTGCGACATCATCAAGAGTCCAACAGGGGATAAGATCACAAATGCTTCGAAGACAACACCTTGCAACGATGCTGACAGACAAGACGGAATCTGGTTTACAAGGGATGGGATGACCGCAGGTGTAAGGCAGGGAAGGGGTTGGGTTCTCGGAGGGAGGGAGGGGGGCTAAGGAGTTGGTGCAAAGGGGCCCGGGAGGAGGGGTGGGGTCTTGGCAGGTGCATTCAGGGGTTGCTCTTTTGGTTCCCGTGGAATGGTTCGCATCAAGGACTGCTGGCACGTCAACAACCCCTTTATAACTGATGAAACGTTGCGGTATAAGAGAGTGGCATGATTCCTGTCACGATCCTGGCATGCAAAGAACCATTCAGGGCGTGACTCGGAGGTCCGAGGGAGGTGCATGCCGACGGATCATACATTCCTCGTGACTTGTTGTATCCGCAGATTGAAATACCCCTAGTTCCAACGGAGCAGACCCCCTCATTTGAAAGGTCCTTTTGAAAGAGTCAACCAATGCGTTTTTCGATGTTGCATGAACCGACCTGTTCCTGATCCTTCGGAGTAAACTTCCTCGTGAGTGACTGTCAGCATGGTCAGCAACTTCTTTATCCGTAACGGCCCCGCCGCCCCCTTCGTAAAATCAAGAACTGCAAGGAGTGTCTCCACCGCACGCTAAACATGAGTATCAGAAACACAGGCTCCGAAAGACAGACAGACAAAACGAAGAATGATCAAGCAAGACCGAGTACAAAACTTCAGACAGTTGTGATCCAGTCCAGAACCAAGAGCGGTCTCATCCGCAAGGATAAGCCCGTCCATGTCACCAACCAACTGCTGCAAGACCTCTTCCACATGAAGCAAGAAGACGCTGCCTCCTTCCTGGTACCCCTTCCTCTCCCTCCTCTCCTCCAGTGCATCCGCTCATCTCCCTCTCCCTATCATCTCCCCCTCGCTCCTCCCCTCCCCCCCCCCTCTCGGAGGCCTGCTCCGCCTTGCGTACTTACGTGCACCTTCCCCAGGGCGTGGCCTTGACCAGCTTGAAGATCGCTTGCAGGAAGCTCGGTATCATCCGCTGGCCCTACAAGCGAGGATGCCGCCAGTCCTCCCACAGCCCAGCTGGCTCCCCCGTCGACTACATCAGCTCCCCCTCAGACATCGTCGGCTCGCATGGCAGCTCGCCTGTAGGAGACGAGCTCGACGGCATCGAGCTCGACCATGTCGACACCAGCACAAGGCCAAGCAGCGAGATGGAGGCGTCGGAGGACACAGGAGCATCGACGGCTATGCACGTGGAGGAGGACAACGCGGGGTCGGCGGCTGGAAGCCTCAGCTCTGGCAGTGTCGAGCCGGGACCATCACAGGGTCAGGAAGGAGGAGGAGAGAAGCGACGGGAGACGGGAGACGGATGGTGCAGCATGTCAGACTGGCAGCCGGGAGAGGGGGCGTTTGTGGACATGACGGAGTCAGGGGAGGGGATGGGCTTGGGGTGGCTGGAGGAGTACATGCCAGGGGGAGGGAACGAGTACCTTATGGGGGGAGTTTATGACTACGTTATATAGAGCACTTGTAGGGCATTTTTTGGAGTTCTTGTTAAATTGTAAAGTTAGGATCGCCCATTGATTGGGTCCTCGTTTGAGGTGACTGAGGGGTAACTTGTGACTTGAGCCCCGGCCCAAAATCAGTGCCGCTGTCCGGTCAGTGTGCTCAGCCGGAGGCTGGCACATCTGATGATCTGCAACACTGAGGCTTTCAAGTTTACTAGTACACCGTCATCCTGGCTCTCTGTGTCAGTCGGACTCACAGACTGAGAGTCACCGTCTTCCGGCCTGAACGGTTCGCAGGCCGCGGGCGCCGGAGGGCCAAGCCGCTGCCCTTAACGGTTACTGGCCGGGCCGTCACAGCGGCACGTCGGGGCCCATGTCGCCGCCGCAGTACGGTAGGGCCCCCGCCTGGCACTGTGTCACTGATGTCTCGGAGTACGACCGGGACTCCGGAGTCACTGAGGCTCGGCCTAGTACGGTCCGTCTGGCGGCCGCCCGGCGGCAATCCGATGCCCGGTGACTGAGTGATCAGGAGTCCGTTACTACCGTAGTACGGTGCCACCGGCACCCGGCGGCGGGGGCCCGCCGTACGGTACCGTACGCCGGCCGGGGTGACTCCCGGGAGTCCTCCTGATCGGACCGTACTCGCCGGCAGTGACGGGGTGTCAGGGTCAGCCTGACTCAGCCTAGTCAAGGCCTCCTCAGTACGGTCGTCTCTCCTGATTGTCCTCGTACTGCTTTTTAACTTAACTTTGAGTCACTGAGTAAACTTCGCGACGGTACGGTAGTACCAGTGCTACGGTCCTGGGAGTCATAGCGTTGCCGTTCCGTATCCTTGTCGGATCAGTTAACCAGGGTGGTTCTCATAGTAGTTTTAGGCAAATTAAAGCGGCAAGAGAAAATTGACCTAAAAATGTTGGCTCCGTCAATTTATGTACCTTTTTCGTTGCCAGGGGCTGCCGGGCCATCCAAGAGAAGAAGGGCAATGTTGAGCAAAACCTTCCTCTATTTGATATGAATAGGCGTGTATAGTTGACTAAATAATCATGAGGAGGCTCGGGGTAGGTATTCAAATGATTTGAATCTTTCCAACGGCCTCCAGCCCGTGTTGAGGGGTAGGGGGTAGTGCAAACTTCTCGTATCAATCTAAAACACTTGTAAACGACCTCCCACTACTCCCAATGTACTCAGGGACTAGAGGTCTTATGGATGTCCTTCTGAATAGCGTTGCGTAGTGTGCCCACTTTAGTTAACCTGGAGAAAGGGGTTAAGATCTAGGTTAAATCCATAGATGACCCTAGCTAAAGATTCCAGTTATCAATTTGTACCACAACCATTGCTTTTTTTAAACTGTCAACAACTTGTTCCATCGATGCATTCATGCGGTTGCCATGCTATGCGGAAAGAATGCAGATCTGATGCGCATGCGAAGGTTGCGTTGCACTCATATGAGATTCCAGCAACAGAGATATTGCATGAGCCGCTCATGCAATATCCCTGATGCTGTCAATGCAGGAAATCAACAACATGAAACGTACAGTATGAAATCATTTATTGCATGAACTTCCTAAATTCAAGCGAAAGCTCACGATATTTGTGTCCCCTTCAGGATTCATGTCTCCAATCCTTGGTGACTACAGATGAACTCACTGGAATCTGTATAGCTTGACACATGCACAGGAAGCGGTGACGTTAGCCCGTTGAAATATCCTTCGAAGTTTACCTCTGCCTGTTCTTGAACATATGCATGTTACTATGAAAAGATGCTGTATGTTAATCATATGTACCGTTGAACATTACATTTGGATTCGTTATCATTGTCCTCGTTGAACACACAACAGGAAAGCTTTCAGCAACACAATCTTGCTGTCTCAGAGATGTTCAACAGCGAGCAACAAGAGCTAATAAAGAGTGAGGGTGAGCTAGGTGTGCAGGCTGCCATGAGTCTAAGCTGACAGGATGATAGTTGATGTTATGTTGTCAGTCAGATGGAGAGGCAGAGGTTCACGAGAAGGAAGTCGGACGAGGCTGCGCACGCCATGTGTACGCTGTGTGGAACGCCCTGCCAGGGCGCCGCTCGTCGGCTTTTACCGAGATGTCGAACCGTTGCGATTTAGCTATTCAAACGCTATTCAGGCCCTGAATAGTGACATAGGAAACTATTCAGAGCCTGAATAGTGTCTGAATTCAGAGCCAATTTAAGTAAAACTTTAGTACCTACGCTACGCAATTCAGCGCTTCCATAAGACCTCTACTGTTTGCTCAGCTGCTGAGCGCAGTCAAGGACCATGGCCCCTCAATGCTAACTCCTGAAACTGCCAGGCAAGTACTGAGATCAAACAGCTCAATTCTTGGCTGAGAATCACACCTATAGTAGGTTGAATGTGTAAGGTATGCATCTCATCGAAATTTGCACTTGCGTACCAAAGCACTCATCAGCTATAGGTGATGGTTGTTCACTTCCAGAAGAAGGGAAACATGAAGGGAACCGATCAGAGAAGCAACCTTCGAAGACATGAAGGAAATTCGATTCTCCTTGTTGTGTTGACGCCCTAGCTTCCTTTACCTGAATGCTTCGTCGGTTGAATAAGAAACATATTTCAAGAGACTTCCTGTTGCTTTGCCATGATTGCGTTTTTTGAGGCTTCTCCCAACCTATTGTAATATGGCGGTGTCATTTGTGAGGAGGTGAGGAGTTTGAGAGGCTGGGGGAAGGAGAGGGGAGGGGTTGGAAGGGAAATGGACGCCTGGGAGGCCAGGCTAGTTGATATGCCTGATCGCTGCGAGAGGAGATGCCGGAGGAGAGACCGTGTTTACTCAAGACCACTAGCGAGGAAGGCAGGAGGGCGAGGAGGACATGAGAGGAGAGGAAGGAGAAAGCTACGGGTAGAGACGGTTTACTTGACAGCACTAATGAGGAAGGGATGCTTCAGAGCCTCCAGTGCTGTAATCCTCGTGCGGGGATCGATGTTGAGGCAGCAGTTGAGGAAGTCCCAGATCGCATGTTTCTCATCCACCTCCAGCCAGTCCTTGCATCCCGCATGCGCGCCCAGGGAGCTTGACAAGGTCCGCCATGTTTGCTTGAAACCGCGGGCATAGCTGAGATGCAGTTCCAATGGTGGAATCTGAATGACATCAAGTTAGCAACCTCAGGCCTCCCGCCACCATATCACCCTCATCCTCATCCTCTTGATACAACAACGCCGACGACAACAATTTTACCTTAACGTCGAGGAGCTTCCACACAGCATCCATGCTCTTGATGTACATGCGCAAGCTGCTCAGACAGTCAGACAAGCGCACTTCCAAGGTACACAAAGAGCGTACCCGTAGATCTCCATCGTTGCCGTGACTATGTCGTTATACTGGAACCATTGGAACTGTGTCGTGCGGCACAGCAGGGTAAGCAGTACTACCCCAGCAGCCCACACGTCCACTGCTGTGGTCTGGCACTGCATGCCCATGAGCACTTCGGGCGCTCGGTATCCCCGAGTTCCCGCGCGTTTGACTGGACGTTCGAATTTGACCCCTGAGTTCCTCACTGTCACCGATGCGTTCGTCTTGCTGACGCCCAACATGATCCGCCTCTTCGCCATCTGCTGCGCCATCTCTAGCTTCTCCTGCTCCTTTTGATTCCGCGAGGAGCGAGAGCTGGCCGTAGAAACCTCACAGGGCAAGATGTTGCCGATGCTGCGGCCTGATGACTGCATTTGTTTCTCTGCCAGCCCAAAGTCCACAAGCAAGTACTTCTTATTCCTTCTGTCGTAGAGGAAGTTATTCAATTTCACGTCTCGATGTATAATAAA